TTTTTCTATATATATTTAATTTGATGATAAATGTTCATTGGGTCGCCGGTTTTTAGATTGGAACGGGGAGCAGTCTGTGCCGGCGTTCAAGGAGTTCAAATTGGCGGAGCTAAGAGCGGCCACCAATGAGTTCAGCAGCGACCTCATTGTGTCCAATTTGGGAGAGAAGGCTCCCAACAAGGTGTACAGAGGGAAGCTGAAAAACAACCGTCTTGTCGCCATCAAGCGGTTCTCCAAGCTCTCCTGGCCCGACCGCAAACAGTTTCTGAAGGAGGCCGCTGAAGTTGGGAAAATCCAGCACAAGAGATTGGTCAATTTGATCGGTTGTTGCGCCGAGGGAGACGAGCGATTGTTAGTCGCCGAGTATATGCCTAATGATAACCTCTCCAAGCATCTGTTTCACTGTACGGTTCTATTGTCTTTATTCCTTCTTGACTTCCTTTGGTACAGATATGACATGCCAATTTGGAAAGATGGTTCCTTTTTTCCTCTTTCATTACTAACAATTGTCTGCCACAGGGGAAGAGAAGCCATTGCCATGGGAAATGCGTGTCAGGGTTGCATACTATATTGCACAAGCACTTGATCATTGCAATACACAGAACCGCAAAATTTATCATGATTTACATGCAGACAGAGTTCTTTTCGATGAGGTATGCCATTGCCTATATGTTGAATGGTAGTAAGCTGACTGTAGTCTATCTTGTGGTTGGCTTGTTCAGCACTCATTATTTTGAACATCCTATCTGCTTTGATGTTTGCATCTTTGGGGTATGCCTGCTTTGACTGAGATCTTTGGAGATGATTCTTGGGGCATTGTACTTACATATTTTAAGCAAAAAGTTGGCTGCAGAGTTGATCATTCTTGATACTTGTGAACTTTATTATTATTATTTTTTTGCCAATTGCATTCCCCTGGTTACGCATAAATATAATATCCATTATTTTTGAGAATTATTCTTCCTGTTGTGTGATCTCCATGACTTGAGAATATGGCTCATTCTCATTTGAAAAACCGCTTGATGGTCGGTGCACATGACTCAGATGGTATTAACAGTTCTTGTGGTTTATGATGAACAAAATTGAGATTCATGTTACATATGAGCAAAAGAAGGTTGCAATAAATCCTCCTTTTTTTTTTTCTTTTTTTCATTTTAGGTTCCAGTCACACAGTACACATTATCCTGTTCAGTATGCAGAGTTTCATTCAGACTGTGCTTCAAATTTGCCAACTGCATTCTTTTTTTTTTTTTTTCATGGGAGGGGGGCTGGGGGGTGAGATGGAGGTATGGAGATTGATATTCCATTCTTGACTCGTAACTCATGTGGTTAATGTCTTTGGTTTCATCTTTGTGCCAGGATGGCAACCCTCAATTGTCTAGTTTTGGATTAATGAAGAACAGCAGAGATGGAAAAAGATATGGTGCTTATTTCGCTTATACTCCACCAGAGGTTTTGCAGACAGGTATGTTTTACCAGCACTTTGGTCGAAATAATCATCAATTTTTTACCAAAAATGATTTTTGTTCCATTCAACCGTGGCTTGGGCAATTCTCTTGGAATTACAAGTATTTAATTTGATAGCAAATGGGTATCCTTTTGCTGCTTTTAATTTGGATGGTTAAGTTTTGCAGGTAGGGTTATCCCGGAGAGTGTGATTTACAGTTATGGAACTGTTCTTCTGGACCTTCTAAGTGGACAGCATATCCCTCCTGACCAAGTAAGATACATTCTATCTTTTATCTTGAGTCTTCTCCAGTATCCCAGATTCCTAGCATATCCATCTTCAATTCAATTGTTTGTGTGTTATACATCCCTCCTAAATTACCCTTAAAATCTTGATTGTTGATATAAATCTTCCTTCTTTTTGATATAAATCTTCCTTCTTTTAGCATCTATGCTACCCTATTCTACAATTATATTTTGAGCTGATGTTTCTTATATTGATTTTATTTGACATCATTACATGATGCTCAATTTTCCAGGCAATGGATTTGATAAAGGGAAAGAATCTGTCGTTGTTAATGGATTCATCCTTAGAAGGACAATATGCCAATGGAGATGCCTCTGAGTTGGTTGAACTGGCTTCAAAATGTCTTCAGAATGAATCTAGAGATCGACCAGATATCAAGTTTCTCTTGTCCACTGTGGCACCCCTTCAGAAGCAGAAAGAAGTGGGCTTTAAAGTCCTTAAATTTACTTTTCTCTTTCTTTTATATGGTGGTGATGTTGTAGAGGAAGCTTTTTAGATTCCTTAATCCTGATAGTGTGTTGTGTAGTTGGCTAGATGCATATTAGCTGGACTAATTGTTTCCATTCACACTGGTTTTCCTAGGTTGCATCACGTGTTCTGATGGGTCTCTACACAGCTCCAGTGTTGCTGCCTACTAAGCTTTCTCCATTGGGTGAGGCATGCGCAAAGAAGGATCTTACTGCAGCACATGATATCTTGCTAAAAAATGGTTATAGAGAAGAAGAAGAGCGTTTAGCAAATGAGGTGGGTTATGGCTATGCTACATGTTGATAGTAGGCTTAGTATTTAATTTAGAATATGCAATCTTTTAGAAAAGCTGAGAGGATTTTATGGTAGACTTTTCTTAGATTTAATTGAATAATTGACTGGTTGCACCTCCTTTTTTTGATTATGGGAGATTGTTATTGCTCATTGTTCCTCTCCATCTCCTTTCTAACAAGGCATGCATACTTACTGAATTGTTTGTGCTGGATTAGTAATATTGCATAAGAATGATATAATTTGCTGGCTTCCTGTTATTTCTGAAGCTTTCATTCGAAGATTGGACACAAGACTCTCAAGAAATATTGGAAACAAGGAAATGTGGAAATACTGCTTTTAGAGACAAGGATTTTCAGAATGCCATTGATTATTACTCGAAGGTATCAACCACCTTGTTCTCCTTTGCTATGTTCTTTTTACATTGTGAACAGGAACAACTTGCAGAATGTTGTATTTCAAAATTAATTTGCCGTAGCTATTCCTCCAAATTGCACTCTTCCCTTCTAAAAGTTCCCCATATCATCTGAAACATCAAGATGCCAGTGAAATGTTTATTTCTTGTTCAATAACCAAACTTCTTTCTTTTTGTCTTTTTTAGACCAAGTGAGAGTTTGCCTTTTCTGCTTAGCTCATTAATTTCTGCTCCTTACTCTAATTACATTTAAATATTGAATCTTTTATGTAAGTGCAGGTGGTGGCAATGATGTCGAAACCTTGTGGTACTGTACTTGTGAGACGGGCCTTTTCATACTTGATGATCGGTCAATCAGAACTGGCGTTGGGGGATGCCACGAAAGCTCAGTTGTGCTTGCCCGACTGGCCTACTGCACACTACATGCAAGCTCTTGCCCTTTCAAAGCTCGGAATGGAAACTGATGCACAGGACTCTCTGAACGAGGGTGCCTTCTTTGAGGCAAAGAGGTAGAAGCAGCTGGCTCCTCAAGATGATTATTTACTATTAGGCATTAAAAATTTCTTTGGATGGATATGTAGATCACTTGCCTATTTCTACCATGTACTGCTCAGACATTGGAGGAAATAAATAGAAGTAAATGTTTTTTAATGTCTCACTTTATGCGCCCTTTTATATTTGTAAGGAGGACAGTTTTCAAACGGGAAATGTAATGTATAAAGGAAATTAAATTATCAAGAAATAAGTAGAGAGGAAGGTAATTACTGATCAATTTTAGGCTAATGGTTTATGCTAATGATATAAATAATTTAATGGTAATTTTTTTATTTTAAATAAAAAATCTTAAGCATAAGTTGCAATAACATACATTTATATGACATATGACTTGAAATGAGTTCAAAAATAACAAAAGATTATTTCTTTTTATGCAACCTAAGATCTTAAGAAAATAATAATAATAAAACCAATCAATTTTAGGATTTTCGGAATTATTAATGGAATTTCAGGTTACTCTTATCCTTGAATATGTTTTAGGTTTGGAGTAATTCTATTAGACGAATGGTATGGCTTGGAATGCAGTATTATGCGAGCCGTAATCAAAACATTGAATGCATTATAAAATTTACAAGATTGCATTTTTTTCAAAGATTAATTTTTGGATCACGAAGGGAACAAAAGTCCATCTTTCCCAAAAATCTGAATAATATTTCATAGTTAATTCAGATGTACTGGAATGTTTTTCTATAATAAATATTGTTATTAAGTGCCAAAAGCTAATTATACTTCAATAATAATTTATCAGGAGTGATATTGTTTGTCAACAATATGATATATCAGTAGTATTTTTTTATTTTAAAATAATAATTTTTTTAAGTTTTAAGAAAGATCATTTTTGTTTTTAATTTAGCTTCATGATATCCCCAAAAAAAATTTTATTTTTATTTTTTAAAGATAAAATAAATAAAACTAAAAATTCTTTCAAAATTCTGAACCCTAAAATAAAAGTGAAAATGCCTGTTATTTTAAGGATAAATGTTAATTTTGGTCCCTCAATTTTATAAAGTTGTACCTTTTTGGTCCCTCAATTATTTTTTGCACTTTTTTGATCCCTAAACTCTAAAGATTGCATAATTTTGGTCTTTCTGTCAATTAAGCATGATGTGGTCGTTAAATAATTTCATATGGCATTTTCTTTTAATTCTTTTGATGATGTGGCAATAATATATCTTAAAAAATACCACATCAGTTGAATATTTATATTTTAATAAAAACAAACAAAATTACATTATTAGCCATCACCCTCTCGATCCATCTTCTTCCCCTTCTTTCTTCCCCTTTCCTACCTCTGGCTCGGTGGTTCCACTAAACCTAGATTTGCTAGGTTCCTTCGAATCCAACTGTTGGGTTCAATGGAACCTAGATCGGCTGGGTTGGAATGGTGCATTTGTGTTGTGTTCAATTGACTAATCTGTTCATCTTCTTTGGCAATTTTCTTTTCTTGCAACTCTAAGTTTCAATTCTAGAATACAATGAAAGCTTTTTCGTTCAATTCCAATCAAACTCAAATCTATTGGATTCTATGAAACCCAGCAACTAGGGTTGATGAAACCCAATAGTTAGGTTAGATAAAACCAATAGCTAGGTTTGATGACACCCTGTAATTAGGTTCAATGAAACCATTGTTGGGTTCTAATCAAATCCATCAATTAGGTCGGTAGAACCCAAATCAACTAAAAATGACAATCTAACTACTATTTCTAACGATTATGGCTCAACATTAAAAAAAAAATTGATACAAACCTTTGAAAAAATGAAAAATCAAATCCATACCCTTAATCTAGCTTAAGATCTCCCATATTCCAATCGAATCTCCATCACCACTTTGCAACCACCTCAAAGGAACAAGGAATTGAATTTTGTTATCCCGATCTAGATGTGCTCTCCACTCTAGAAACAGTAGTTCAATCCTAGTAAGCGGGTTTAATCCCAACATTGTTGGGTTCTAATCAAAACCAAATCTATGGGGTTTTGTTCATCTTGCTCGAACCCAGATCTATGAGGTTTTCTTCATTTTGCTCAAACCCAGATCTTACTCGAACATAGAATTTAGAAAAAAAAAAGTCAAACAAAGGATGAGAGGGGAAAGGAAGAGAAGTCAACACCAGAAAAAGGAAAAGAGAAGAAGAAGCTACTAGAGATGAAGAGAGGGAGGGAGAAGTTGTTGAAGTTTAGGGTTAAGGAATAAAGGGGAGAAAAGAGGAAATCAAGGGAAGATGATGAAGTTAGGGGTATTTATGTAATTTTGAAGTTTTTATTATTTATTAAATGAAGTGGGTAGAGTTTATTTGCAACGTAACATAAGTTTTAGTCCAAATAAACATTTTTTTACTTGTATTATCCATATCATAAAGAAATATAAAATATATTATGTGGATGGAGTTAACCATCTAAATTGACAAAATGATCAAAATTATGTAGTTTTTAGAGTTAAATGATAAAAAAGTTCCAAAAATTACTTAAGAAACCAAAAAGTGTAACTCTATAAAGTTGAGAGACCAAAATTAATATTTAACCTTATTTTAAAGTAGAGGGAGAAATTTTTATCTATTTTTTTCGTTTGATGGGATGCATGAAGGATATCTTATACCTTAAAATTGTACTTACATTTTTTATATAGAAAATTGTACCCTATTCATTTAGCAAGTTTTCACTTTTAAGTAAGTAGGAGAATTAGAGCATATTTGGTTAAATTTATAAGAATTTTAATTTTTTTGTATTATTTATATTTTATAAGTTTAAATTTTTTAAAAAAAATTTTATATTTTTTAATTTTTTATTAACTTTAAAAAAATTTTAAATAGTTAATTTTAAAAAGTTTCAAATTTATGTTTTTTATAAATTTTTTTTCTTACTTCTTACTCACTTTTTTTCATTTTTAAAAATAATTTTTAATTTTTTTAATAAAAATTTAAATTTATCACTCATAAACATAAACAGTACAAAAAATTAAAAGCTATTACAAACTTCACTAAACATACTCCTAGATTGTACCGGTGGAAATATAGGATTTTATTAGGGAATATAATGCCTGAATTAACGAAAAATAAT